GACCCATTATTCCATTTCAACTCAGCGCCTTACCGAGCTTCATTCTTCTAATTCTCGGCGGACTTCACCTTCTGCTCAGGGGGTTCAAGAAAGGATCTGTCGTTTCTATCTCAGAGCCTGTACTTGTAGGGAAACCGGAGACCCTTGAAGTTGTCGTCCTATCTCTATCTTCGGCTGGTTCCGTAAGGATTGCACCGTTGGTTTCCACAGTTTTTACAATACTGATGTCTTGAGTAGCGCGATACCGCGCTTCCAAACAGGCAAAAGCACACATGTTCTTCTCTAGACCTTCTCGACATGCAAGCCATCCATTTAAGTGTTCATCGCCTCGGCGACAATTGCCGCTTCTTCTGCAGCTATTGTGAGCATCGAGCTCCTCTGAGCTCCCGGTTTTTTTTCAGTGTTTCTATGGCTCCTTAACTATCCTTTGTACTTCTCTTTCCCAAATAAAGCTGCCCTGCCTCTTCCGGTGCCACCGTGTCTCTCCCATGACTTCCTTTGCACACTGTGGGATGACCTCTGTTTCGTTGGTCCAAGTCTCCCGGCCTGGCGCGTGTCGAATAGCTCAATCTCCAGTATTTCTAGACCGATGCCATCTTTTCCCGCGTCGTGCATTCTCCACCACCAAAATCTCTACTAGGTTCCTACCCCTCCTTTCCTCGAGAAGGTCAGTGGCGATGTCTGCCAGAAGTGACCTGCGCTGAGGGACCAGTTGTAATCCAGGCAGTGCCTTGACGGATTCGAGAGACGTCCTTTTCGCCAATACCTAGTACATGCTCGATTTTCATTTGCCTCCATCCATTGCTGAACGTTATCTTCTGGGTTTTCCTTCTGCAAAGAAGGGCTGCAGATTGTTGGGTCGGGGGCTGGAGCTGAGTCAAGAACCCACTAATCTTCAGCATTCTCCTCAGCTTTAGTTTCTTAAGCTGTCTACTCACATGGGCATTCAGTTCACCGGCCAAAATCGACCTTATGACATGGATGAAAGCCACGTAGAACTCATTCTTTTCCAGCTCGGAGCAATCGGATTGTGATGCGTATACAGACACTACTGTCCAATACCTTTCCTTGTTCTCTATTCTCACAGACATTATTTGTCCACTGCTTTTCAAAGCAGAGAGGCGCGGGTCTTGAGGATCCCAGCTACGCAATGGCCGCACCATTCCGTTTGGTGTCTCTTTCGTTGACTACTTCTCCAATATCCTTCTTCAGTGCGTTCCCTGAAGGCAGACTTGGATATTCCGGCGTCCGATAAGGTCGGCAATCTCCGGAGAACTCCCGGTATGCGCATACTTTTGCGACTTCTAATCATTTCTGTTGTGACGTGTTCCCCATCACTCGGCCTATCAACCGGGACCAACGCCGGCGTCGCAACCATCCTTGCAGTTTTTGCAAGTCATGGTTTTTGCCCCCTTTGCCAGCCGAGTTTATGGATTTGGCTGAAAGTGCAGGTATAAGCCGACGTTCCTAGCCACTTGCACATCCCTGCCGCATCTTGCAAGTTCGGTTGCTTAGACTAAGTTTGAACCCCTCCAAGAGGTATTGCTCCCTCGCCTTCACCTTCAAGCTCCTTCTTCTTCAGCACCTGCGTTAAACGAAAAAGACGGTGTCGTCAACGTACCCTACTATCCCACATGAAAACTTTAGCTATACATTAGATTGCATTGAGCATTCCAAAAATTAGCGATGAGCACGTCGATTCGGTTGCCACGATCAATGGATCCCTACCACACCCAAGAGATCGATTACTTTGCATGCCTTTAGCTATAACAGCAACGTAAAGTAGATCCTTAAGGCTTTCGTGTGGTTACGTTGCAGAATGGCATCATCATTTTTTTGTGTGCGGTCCTGTTCAGGAACCATAATAAGCAGAGGCATCGAAGACAGCGGCTTGCAGCCTCGAAATGTGCAAGAAACCTGTGGCGAGCCAGAATATGGGCCTTCTCAAAGAAAGGTGGATTTTGGAGTGGTTAAGCCACATATTATTTGGGGAAGCTAGGGTGTGTGAGGTTACAGTGATCATGGAATGAAACCACGAGCACGTGCAAAGAAAACCAGAGCAACGAAGAACCAATTTCCCACAGCGGGTTCAAGCAGCAGTAAGGTGTTGTTTCGAAAATATGGTAGAGGGCGGGACATTGGTGGTACATGACAACTAGTGATGTTGTGACTTGATAACATTGCTGAAGAATGTTTGGAAGTGAGTGTAAATAAAGTTGCTGTATAACCGCCGTTGCAATGTAAATTTTTCACCCTCAAGTTGTGTACGATGCATCATGGAAACCTTTATGATTAGGTCTGGTAGTGATATCAAAGTTTTGAAAACTGATTATAAGCCGTAACAATACGCTCAAAAGAATTAATTGAAGTACACTCTCATCTTCTTCTAATCGGACTAACAGGGCTCATTCGGATTCGCTACTGCTGAAGTGTATGGCAGAACGACACGACATAAAAAGATTTTTGCATTATTTGCCATGAGGACGCGGTAAGGTGGCAAATAACAAAATAAGTCAGGAGCTTTCAGATCAAATGTAGACTCAAGTGTTGGGCGTCCGTCAAGGTTGCGATAAGGGCGTCCGTCAATTCGCAGCTGCGCTCCAACTATAGACAATAACCAAAGGCCGTAGCGAGTACAGGGAAGCGCTGCTGGCACTGCATATCGAGAGGCTGTGTAAGACACCAAGGAGTCACGCGTTGCCTCGTCTATGTCTACGTACGGCCTCCTGTTCCTCCTAGTTTCTCAACACACTAAAGGCAGCGACCAAGAAACGGCACTAAACGGTGGATAAAGGGAATCGTACCCTCACTATTTTCCCCCATAACCTTTTCAGAACAGCAGCGGTCGGAGCCGATCAAAAAACCCGCTAGGACTGCGTGCCCGTCTATAGCGTTGGAGTGCGGCTGCAATAATATTGCATCGTAGCGCGTGGCGCGCGTCACACGGGGGCCTGCTCACTGCCTTACTGTGGAACAAATTTTATTTGCAACTGCGACTGTCAGCGTCAAAACCTTTTTGACTGTTATCTTCATCGTCTCAAGAACGAAAGAACGTCTCAAGAAAGTCGGATACTCGTAGAAAGAGCAATGGGAAATGGCATCCAACCATTAAAAGAAAAAAAGGGCTAGGCTACCCCAAGGGGTAATTTAGAGTGCAGCTGTAAGTTCAGGGCTGACCGTATAATGCACGTGTCAGTGTGCATCTAGAACACTGGTAACCATTTCTTGGTATGCAACTACTCCAAATAACCAATTGTAGAGGCACAGTAATTCAAGTCCTATTAGGTTGTCCGGAAAGTTCTCAGCGTTTTGTGTTACTATTTTTTGTAACATCGTTGATTAAAAACTGATTTCTTTCTGAACGTCCTCCACCTAGTACATCCTGAAGAGAATTTTCGCGCTATCTGATGGTATAATTGGCGTATCACCAATGCTTGAAAACCCCCCCTTTTCCCAAGACTTTTGAAGCATGTCAAAAGAGCAACTTCGGACGATATTTTTCTTCAACTACAAATTGGGTCAATCCGCAGTCGAGACAGCTCGACAAATTAACCAGGTGGGGGGAAGTAGTGTTGGGAAAGCACTATGGGCGAGCAATGGTTCGACAAATTTCGTTCTGGAGATTTCAGCCTTGAAGATGAACCTCGTAGCGGTCGACCTAAAGCATACCTGACGAGGATTTGAAGGCGTTTGTGGAGGCCTGACCCTCTTCGCGCAAAACCAGTCGATGAGATGTAAAAAAGCTTTTTTTAGGGCGTTGGCAAAATCCACTGTTGGCAGATGTTGCTGAAAGCGCCATTGGGATGGTTAATAGAAAAACTCGACAAGTGGGTGTCCACAATTGGGTGACTGGCATGAAATGCAGTCTTGAGAGTTTCTTCTTCACTGTTTTTGCGCAATAGAAACGACGACCCGTTTTTGGATCGAATTGTCACCTGTGATGGAAAGGGATCATGTATGATAACAGGAGACGTTCCGGACAGTGGTTGGATGCCAACGAAACACCGATGCAGATTTCTATAAGCCCGATCCTCACGCGAAAAAAGATCAGTCACCAGTGTGGTGGTCACTGGCTGGTCGTGTCCACTACTCACAATTCTTGTCACCAGCCAAACCATCACAGCAGAGTCCTACTGTGAGGAAGAAATGGACGAAAAATGTTCCGAAAATTGCGTCCAGCCGCACTTGTCAAAACAGACAAGGGTCCTATTCTTTTCATGACAACCCCGCGCCACACGTTTCACAAATCACTATCCATAAATTGAACGAATTGGGGGTTGAAGTTCTACCTCACCCGCCATATTCTCCAGACCTTTCACCAACCGACTATCACAAACATTTTCAGAACTTCCTTGCTGGAAAATACTTCATCAATCAGGACCAGGCAAAAAAAGCTTCGTGGATTTCGTGGATTCTCGACCACCCAGTTTTTTCTTTGATGGGATTTGTCGACTGGTGTCACATTGGCAAAAGTGTGCTGATTCGAACGGTGCTTATTTCGATTAAATCCGATGAGTATTAAGAAAGTTATGATCGTTTAAAGTGAAACACTCAAAACGCTGAGAACTTTCCGGACAACCTAATATTATATCGCTAAATATGTTTGCAAATGAACTGCGCGCAGTGAGGAAAACTATGAACTCACTGTCTTCTGAATTTGAAGTGTCCGTGTACTCAATTTCCGTGTGTGACTTCCCTTTGGCCATTTCGTACATTATTTTCCACGAGGGCTTTTTTCATCGTGAGTGAAGGATTCCTAACGATTCGAATTTTGATGTCGTCAGAGGATTCAATTTTGGAGAGCTCCGGAAAATCCAGGGAGGAGAGACCAGGGTTCCCCTCAATCATAATCGCGGGTCCTGCAAACCCAATATACGCATGTAAGAACAAATCCAAGTCTTCTCTTCAACTTTAATTATTTACCTTCTCCTACAACACTAGGGAAAAAATCCACTTAAACCCAGACCGACTAAGATTGTTAATAAATCTGAAGCTTGATCTCATCAGGATTGTCAGCTTGTAGAGCTGGGAGATTTCACTGGAAAATTTGAGCCAGCAGATTTGCTTCTATGCGCATTATCTGGAACTAGACCCGCTTATATGAAGATGGCTGGGTGGTAGGTTATTGCAGATTTGATTACAACCTTCGCATCTGCATGCGGGAGTGCGGGTGAGTGGTAGCATACAACCAGGGCGATCAGTTCACCAGTTGTTACGGACTCAGGATGGCATCGATTGGTGGACCACTCGATCTTTCCACGCCCACACTCGCCATTCCCTTTGCAGAGATAATCACCGTAGATATTGTATGGGATTCGTGTGCAAAACTGTACAGTTTTATCATCGCAATCAGCTCGGTCGATATTCAGAGGGATGAAGTCACCCTTTCTGCGGCCTTGCCACCACTGGTTAGTTTCTCCCAAATCGATCACTAGCACCATTGGTAGAGCAAGGCGGCCAAGCTGGGGTATCCCATCTGACCGCGACCTTATGAACTATATATCTACATGTTGGAAAATAAAGGTGGAATAGGAGAGGTGGTTTAGCTGCCTATTCTGCATCCTCTACTACACGATAGAGAACTAAGCTAGAAAGATTTTTATTGCATACCTTGTCTTCCTGCAGGTACAGTAACTTCTTTTAGACCTCTGAGTGCGTCAAATCTACCAAGTCCGGGACAATCGCTGATAAGTAGAGAGCCATTTATGCGCTCAATTGAACTGAGGTCTTCAAGCGATGAATTCACTTCTGGAATGAAGCATTCTTATGTGTTGTATAGTCATTTACTATAACAATAAAAATCCCCACAGAGTCACTAATACATCTGGAATTATTTCTGCAATTCTACGGTGAGAAGTTAGCCAAAGAATAGATTCAGGGATTCAGGCAATTCAGGGTGAGCCAGGTTTGATATTTGAATTTAAATCCGAATTAAGTTATTGGGACCCACTCCATTGCTCTGGAAGAAGTAGTCAAAGTGTGATTTCTCTTTTACATTGTCGGCGAGGGGTCATGCTATTTGTAAAAAAGGTGACACATTGCCTCCACCTTCAAAAACATTGGGTTTTCACTGCACAACTTCTATGGTACTGCACCAGTAACTCGGAGTGTCGGTTCGCGAACCAAGCTATCGGAGCTGCCTGACATCCGGATGGCACTTTCTGTCGAAGTGGAATGATAGGAGGAGAATATATCATCTACTTCTCATTGCCACTAACAATGTCGATAGCTAGTAAGAGGTTCGCTGAGAAATCAGGAGAATCACCACGATAGATCAGCTGGTGCAACATCAGCACATGTGGAACATGAACTCTAGCCCAGGTCTCACAGTTTGGAGGTTGTCTCAGTACCGTTCCCTGCTCAACCGAAGGTGCTTTGCCAAACAACGACTGGTGCGACGGGAATTCTTTCAAAAACGTCGCGTTGACGATCCAAATCAAGAAACGTGAGGGAATCGGTGTGTGGATCATTTGCGAATGAAAACAGTTTCCTTGGAGTAGACTTACTGTTCAAATTACGGATGATCAAATCTCCATTTATCGTTTTACATCCTTGAACTGTTGCTAGGTAGTCATCGTTCACTACACCTCCATGACAAACCACTTCTGCAAGACAGAATCACGTGAACAAGCGCGGAATTTACGAGAGCAGCTACCAATGTTTCGCGGGTAGCATTCAAATCAAAGGCACAGTTAACACTGGTAGTGTGCGCAGTCTCAGGCCAACCATTAGACATTACTCATTGAAGCACTTCTCGTGTTGAATACTAGGAAAGGTGGACGCGCCAATGAGGATGACAAACTGGTTGGCCTCACTCCGCTCAAGCCATCGGCCTCAAGTGTGCCTGCGCCCAGAGAGAATATACATACCGCAATTCGCACTCTGGTAGATGGGTATCCCTTTGAACTTTGATTTCAGACGTTGTACATCATGTATGCAAAGGTTTGCATTGTCGGCTATGACTAGAAATGTTCGAGGCATAATCATTAGAACAATCGAAAACTTGAAATATTATCATAAATCAAAACTGAAAATTGTTTGTGACTCCGGTCGTACCCTCTCACATTTACGATTTCATTCTATCTGGGAGTCAGTCAGTACCTAAGTTCGGACCAGATGATTAGCCCGCTAGCACTCATACTTCGGTGGACCTTTATCACAATCCGTCTGTGTGTGACTTCCTCATTCTTGGATCAGAAATGTAGAGAACAACAATTCGGCCCAAGTGCAGCTCAGACGGCTCGAAATATGAATGAGTGTGGAACAGGTACGTGTTAGTCAATGCACAATCCACCGTTGACTTGAGCAGACCCTTATGACGAGTTGATATGCCA